GTTCTTATGAAGCCAAGTGAAAATAAAATAGTACATTGCACTTGTACAAAAAATATTGTGTATAAAGAAGTCCTATCTGCAGTTTCTTCGAGCTGATGATAATGTAGGTTATAAAGAACTCTTAAAAGCATTTATATTTTATTGTTTGGTGTTTATATTACCGAAAGTCTCAATGTTGCGTTGTGAAGGTCCTTGATTCCGTCGAAAGAGTAAACCCCAAAATAATCTTTGTTAGGCTAATTTTGCTGGTCAAATTTGTGATGAGCATAGATATTTGTATATATGTGTTCAAACCATTTTAAAATATGTTGATGGTTTACCATTTTTTTTTTTGCACAATGAACTATAGAATCTTACAGGCATCAAGCGCTCTCAAACTAGGTAGAACCTTGATTGAACGAAAACACCAGGGAAATGAATCCAGCACATTTATACTGTCTGCTGCATAAGCAAGTTGTTTTTTGTTGCACTTTCTGGAGTCGAATTTCATTCTGTAATCTCTTTTATGATATTTGGTAGTATGGATATACTGATTAAACTTTGGAGGTCTATATGCGCTTCAAGCCTTTGGATATATATTTCCTCCCTTTAACTCGATTTTGTTCTTCATGATTTTGTACAGGAGCTCCAATGTAGTGACTGCTGACAATGTCCCTTAACCGAAGAGGAGTTGGAATAGCACTTTAGGAAATTTGGTGACATCTCAGAGGTCCATATTGTTGTTCAAAAAGATGCAAAACGGTCCAAGGGCATAGCATTTGTTCTTTATGCTTTTCTGGAATCTGCTTCTAGGTATTGTATCGCGAACCAGAATTGTACCTTGTGCACTATGAGTTTAGCATAACAGTTACTCTTAAATGTACAGTGTAATGAACTCGCTGTTATAATCACATTGCCAAATCATGAGTAGTTAATTTTAATAATTTTGAAGCTTTTAGACTCTTAACAATACCTCATTTCAAAAGTAAAAAATCAGTACATCAATCCTGTTCAACACACTATGTTAACCTGCATGTGCCTTTACTGGTTTACATAAGTTTCCTTTCATTGTGACAGTGTCCTTGAATCTTTTGTTAGATGATGCTATGTTTTGTTGACATTTTTTATTAGGTCATCTTATGGGTTAGGTTTATTTACGTCATTCTCTTGTATTTTTTTAATAATTACAATCATTAATATTCATTTGATAATACAACTACTTTTGTCAACAGCTGTGATATTTGATGCTTTCTTCAGAGCGTTGGAGGAGTTAGACGGATTAGATTTTCAAGGGAGATTATTGCATATCGAGCAAGGAAAAGAAAAGAATCCTTCTGATAAGCAAGAGTATGTAGAATGTGAGAATTTTTTACCGCTCTTACAACTTTATTGCTGAAAATTATCTGAAGAAAATCAAGTCCTGCTCTTTGAAAATAGAGAAAAGAAATGGAATTATGTTTTTTACTAATATTTTTCTTCTGATTCATAGGAGAAGGTGAAGACTCTCCAGAATTCCCAAATCGCCTCTTCAATTCCATTTGGCATTCAAGAATTCTGGTATTCCTTCCTTCATTGCACGGCAGCACCAAGAAGAATTTTGGTATTCCAAATCGCCTCTCCGTTTCAATTCTAACCTTTTATTTCATTCTCTGCGTGGATTTATGTCAGATTTAGTTTAGATGTGCTTCAATTGATTTCGGGTGTGACCGTGTGAATTATGATTGTTTGCATAATGGAATCGAGAAATTATGAAATCTCTTGTTAATCATTACCATTGAATTTAGATGAGTTAATATTACTGTACTTTAATGGAGATTTCATTTGGGGTTAATTTTGAAAGCTTTATTTCTTTTAGAAGAACCTCGTGATTTATATTTAATAGAGGGCAGATATTGGTTTGCGAAGCTAAATTGTGATTTATGGAACTAAAATTAAAATTCAGTTGAGAATGTATTGAGAAACTTTGTTCTTTTCCTGATTAATAAAAACTGAAACTGCATCTTAAATGTCAAGGTGAAGTTGATGGATGATCACGGAGGCAATAGTGAATAGTCTTCTCAATGTTTAAGCTTTCACAAAATATTGAAACAAAAACACTATTTTCTTTAGGTGACTGAAGCTCTTTCACGTGCTGGCCTTGAGTCTTCCAACCTAATTGTTGGTATTGATTTCACTAGGAGCAATGAATGGACAGGTTGAACATTTTTTTTATTTAGATAGCTAATAAGAATAACATTATGTCGAAGCTTACATCATATTGGAAGTGGTTTAAATCCCTATGAACAAGCTATATCTATTATTGGGAAAACCTTGGCGGATTTTGATGAGGATAACTTGATCCCCAGTTTTGGATTTGGAGATGGTATGGCACCATAAACTTGTAATT